AATCTTGGTATCTATTATTTATTAGTATGACTTGGGCCTTGGGGATTTAATACATTTAATTGAAAAATAAATTAACTCAATATAGATACCAATAGTGATATAATATAGTCATAGTGCATAATACATACATGAAGTAGGTAGTATTGTTTCCATATTTTTGTTGAACGTTTCTTGCTTATTTTTTTAGGATACAGATCAGAATTCAAAATTCGTATATTCATGAATGTATTTATCATGCCTACTAGGAATATTATAATATGTTAATAATGTTAAATCAAATAAACAATAATAATAATGTAAACAAAAATATAACAATAATGTTAACAATATTATATTATTATAATTTTATATTTTGTTTTATTTTATTATATTATTAATCATTATTACATCATATGTCATAATAATAATGCAAACAATTATTGTTAATTGATGAACATTGTTTATTTTCAACGCAGCCGTGTTCCCGTTCATTACATATTACGTGCTGAATAAGTCATCGGTGTCCAATCCTCGTGAAGTGGCSGTGAACGTTCGGAATACAACTTTGAAAAAATTCGACCCGCGAGTCATCAAGCACACCACCGATCATACGTTCGACTTGTTCACTGAAGTGGCCAACATTATGTGCCCGCCGATGAGCCAGTCGAAGAGGCCCAGAGGTACTCACACCGCTTACATCATATCGGTGTACAAAGTATTCGACGGCGACGACAGTGAAAAGTTCGAGAAACACTGGCTTTATTGGACAGGTATACTAAATTACCAACACCTAATATTAAATCATAATATTGTATAACTATTAATAAAAAAACAAAAATAAATAAAAAAATAAAATTTTAAGAGGATGTCGGCGCACTATTTGTTTTCACTTTCTCTGGCCCACAGCGCTWAACATATAGGCATAACGCATTTACGTGAAATCAATTTTTTATGTTTTTAAGTTGTCACAAAGGAAAATCACCAATAATTACAAAAATTATAGACAATAACATTTTTGTGAGTATAATATA